TTGTGAACGGCCAGAAAGCCTTCAAACAGACTGACCAGATGTAGTAAAACATATTTCTGTCACACAGCATGTGACGCACTACGTGTTGGGCTACACTAGATCTTATTCTGGCATATTATATAATATAGTAGTATGGATACTGAGAGGCAGCCTTGGTCTGCTTCCAATAAAGCAAACATGCTCCCAATCTTAACAGAAGAAGCACAGATCACACCAATTTCCTTCAACAATGACTCCCGTCCATCAGTTCTGCCAGTAAACCGTGAAAATGAGGCAGACTGGACAACACCAGGATCTGGCTCACCTGAATGGAAGGTTTTTATTATTAGCAATGTTATTACATGTTTTTCATTATGCGCCAGAATGTCTGCCGTCAACGAGGCTCCTACCAGGATCACGAGAGCAAAACAAATAAATGGAATCCAGCGTCCAGGCGCCTCGGTTTCATCCCAGTATCGATTACTGAGCGGCTGCTTGTGTGTGTTCTCCTAAATGACACTCACGGAGTTGTATTTTTATTTTTGGGTATTATGAATGACTGTTCCATGTATGAACACTAAGTTTAAAAGGGATGTGAAAAAGCACAAAAGGTCACCAATTAGCAGCTTTACTCACACACGAGTTCGGCAAATTTGATTTCGACAACTATTAATTTCTTGGAGGTTAATTTTCACCTTGAGTCAATTATCGTTGACCCAAATTACCGCTAATTCCGCCCTCTTTCTCGCTCTAATTGATTCTGGCAGTTGCTATTTGTGTCCCTCTTCTCTCTCCGTCTACCTCGGCGGCTCCCTCCTGCTGATAGCCAGTTTGGCAGGTCTGTCTTTTTTAATGGGATTTTGATCAGCGCTCGTGAGTGACAGCGATCGATGGCGAGGCAACCGTCCCGTCTTGACAACACCAGGGAAAATTCCATTAACTAAATAATTGACTTTAGTTCTTACAAAACTGTCAGCTCTTTTTTTTTTGCCCCCTCGTCGTTGGGTAAGAGGAAAAAAAAAAAAAGTTATGGACGCAGATGAATATGAAAAAACAAGCTCTTGAGAAAAACAGACGGCAGAAGTGTGACTTAGACGATTCTGAAGGCCTTTAATTTTCAGATTTTAGCTTTGAATAGAGAAAATATGAAAAGCTGCTTGTTCCGGTAACAGAAATTGAGCACGAAAATGGATAAAAATCTTCAGAATTATTTGCTTTTTGTTGCTAGAAGTTGGAAAAACTTGCAGCAGGAAATATGTTGCAGTGAAATGTGAACTTAAGTTAAGATTCTGATCAAATAAAGACGAGTTTTTTTTATTTTTTTTTGGCCTTTATTGGATAGTGTTAGTGAGAGAGAGAGAGAGGAAAGTAGGGGAGAAGACATGTGGGAAAGGGTCATGAGCGGGATTCGAACCCATGACCTCCACATCGGGACTGTAGCCCTACACATGGGACACCAGCTCAACCAGGTGAGCTATAGCAGCGCCCCAAGACGAGTTTTTATTTTTAAAAAAGGAGGATATGTGCATCATTGTGCAAATACTAAGTCTGATAATAACTCCCCGGGTTAATTCACTCCCTCGTGAGAACATTAAAGCATAAAGCACTGCATTAACACTATCTTTTATTTTAATGTCCTGATAAACGTCGGGGAGACAGGCCTCTTTTCATTAACTAATAAAACTTAAGTAACTGTCGGTGTGATGATGGTGCTTTTAGTATCTGCGCTGGATGCCAGGTGGTTGAAACCTGAATAACTGTAGGTATAAAAGGCGGGCGAGGGCAGATTTATGATTGAGACGTTCACGTATCCTGCAGAAAAAAAAGCAGCTTTAAGATGACAAACAGAAAGAAAATTAAGAAAACTGGATGTGGCTGCAAAAACAGCTGATTCAGAGGTCGACATGCTGTGTATACGCGGTCCGGGTCAGACGGACTGAGGTTCTGGGGCAGGTATTGCTGAGCAGGAGCTTCTAGCTTAAGCACTTTAAAGTGCAGAAGTTAGCCGGCCCACCTCTCAGCAGCTGAACCATATGTCAGCACGCTTAACGTTTTTCTGGCAAGACGCACAGAAAAAATAACGACACGAGACCGTATCGATCCTCGCTGTTAAATTTCCACCATCTGACGTGGAAACCAGGTCGAGGTACATAATGGCCTCCCTGCAGCCGCTATAGATTCAGCATCATCCTCAAGGTTGCTAAACGCTTAAATCCAGTCCGCTCAATAAAGGGACGACTTCACTTCACCACCCGGCTTACTCCTCAGTAAATATGTTGAAAGAGAAACATCATCTCCTACCTTTCTGACAACAAACGAGCAATTTCTACACATCGGTTGGGGTCGAAACCACCCCGAGAGCATCAATCAAAAAGGGCTATCTTTGCTTTTTAAAGCAGCACAAAGCAATGCAACGTGGGCAATGCATTTCACACACAGGCAATTCGGGGTGATTTAAGGAACAACGGAAACACGTTAGGGCATTTATGGAGCCACCGAGGAGGAAAATAATAGAA